AGTTCAATGTTCAAGTGTGCAGTATTCGATCGATGAATTCTGCTGTTAGATCAAAACCAGGCGTGATTGATGTACACTGTTGTAATACAAAACCGCGTGTATTTGAATTGTCGTTGAGTGGCAGTAGTTCCATTCATCCCTGCGTCTTGATAACGCTTGCATGAATCGATACTTTACATGTAACTCAAGAAATGGACCGGAAACACGCCCAATTAGTGATTTTGTTCTTTTCCTTGCTGTTCAAAGCTGTTGTCAATAACAACTGGATTTGGGTCTAGACGATACCACGTTGGAAGACCAAGTTTAGTCATCAGGTTGGATAACTTACTGTTTATATGTGTGTCTATGAATTATCTGTCGATCATATATCTGTAGAGAGCACAAGTCTGTGTAACTTGTGTCTGTTTATTCTATTTTATTTTTTAACTCTTTCAGTCGAAAACTAATTTGAGCGAACCTATACTTTGATCTCCCTCAATAACATAATGTAATCTCTTCAGTTTAACATTTAGTGAAAAAAAAAAAAAAACTTTTAAAAATCTGGCTTCTCCAATGTAATTGCCACTGTGCATATTGGTTATATCTTTACTTTGGCATCTGTTGTGACATTCGTATGTTGCTACAGGAAAGATACATACTTTCACAATTTTGACTTTGATTTCCATTCTGGTGCTGAAGCATCGACTTTTAATGATGTTACATTAGCAGCTAGAAGACGGAGAATGCAGTGGCTCCCAGGCTGACCCAGCCTCAGATAAACACCAGGTAAAGTCCTGGGAAGTAAAGGCGGCCTGTATGATGTGACCACATCGCCCACCAAAGTGCCGATTGGTCTATAAAATATAGGTCTAGCCCTATTTGCCCAATACGTCTTAAGGCGTGAAAAGGAGTACTTTACTGTTACTTGTGTATGCAAATATATATATATATATACTGTAGTGAGTAGGTATTTAATTGTGGTATATATGCATCTATATATATATATATATATATATATATATATATATATATATATATATATATATAGTAGTGAGTAGGTATTGAGATAAATATGCATATATATATATATATATATATATATATATATATATATATATATATATATATATATATATATATATATATATATATATATATATATATAGTAGGTATGTTTTTTTACTGTGAAATCTGCTCGTGGGTATAGACTGCTAATGCCGATTTCTCTGGAATCAGTAATGTGCTTTACGTGCAGCCAGGCATGCAGAAATTGTATCTGACCCCATGAACATACTTCAGAAAATCACACAAGGTAGTATGCGCTCTGAATAGGTAGAAAGCATTACGTACCAGATCACGCCGCAAAGAGCGAACCGACTAATTGGCAAATAGTGCACTTACGCACGCGGAAAGAAGCATATAGAGAGCAATCAACGCTGTTCTAACTGGGCTAGTGGATAATGATAAATCACTGACACTGACACGATTGCGTGACCTGGGAGTAAAGCATGGTGTAAGTACGTCTATGCCGCCTTCAAGGCCGAGATAGGATTTTCCAGATTTATGGTATCTATCCTGAACGGCCTTCTCTATTTATGTTTGTATTTTCCACAAAAGTAAGATTTTTGCATTCAAAGTTGAAAAAGAATAAACAGCCAGTTCCTAAAAATCCAAACTACTGATTAGAAACAGTGACACACACAACACGACTGTCTTCCGTGAATTAAAATTAAAATTGCTGTAATCTAACAGCAAAGTTTGAAAATTGTGTATATCCACTTCACAATATCCGCTTGTTGATTTGTAATACAAATACGTTTAGAACACAGGACTTTGTAAGCATATTAAAATGTCACACAATGCAACATGGAAACTCTTCCAGTAACCAATTTTCAAGGGGACTCCGCCAAAATGTACCGTGATTTAGTCAGAAGGACCTATATACAGACCGACCTGCTATCATTGAATAAAGACCGAAGGGTTGCGATATCTATAGTACCAAGCCTAAGGTTTACAACTCGTGGCTTCTGGATTAAAAAAAAAAAGACCGAGATAGGAGACATTATATCCAAATTCTCATGGGAACAATCAGTAGAGCTATACGTAGAGGGACTGCTGCATGGTAGGACTGAGCACATATGTGAGTACCCAATATGCTCTCTCTCTCTCTCTCTCTCTCTCTCTCTCTCTCTCTCTCTCTCTCTCTCTCTCTATTTCTGTGTGTAAGTGCGCGTGTGACTTTCTGTTGATTGGCTAGATAGTAGCTCTAGCTACTTATCTATGTGTGCATGCATCCAACTGACCTACTATCTTCTTGACCATACATTGTATATACATGCATACCAAACATGCGGCCCGCGGGTTGCATGCGGTCTTTGGAAGGCATCAATACGTACTGAATAACTTGAATTTTGTGTCTGTGTGTGTGTGGGTGGGTGGCTAGGTGAGGGTGGGTGCGTGTGGTGTGTGTATGTAGTGTGTGGGGTTGTGTTAGGGGGTGCATGGGTGGGGGTGGGTTAGTGTGGGGGTGGCTGGCTGGGTGGGGGTGGTGTGTGGGGTGTGTGGTTGGGGGTGAGTGTGGGTGGGTGCGTGTGGTGGGTGTGAGAGAGAGAGTATTTTCCCTCCTTTATCACTTGTCCCAATAAAATCACAGTATTACAATAGTTCTGGAGTGTTTCTTTAACTGGCCCGCCCCCAGACCAACAGATGTTGCTGCCCAGAGAGTATTTTCAGACGAAGCTCATACAAACATACATATCTGCCATGCTGCGAGAAGTGTGATGCTTTTAACAGTATCTGTTATTTCCAGCCCTACAATACCTGCATTTCTGAACCTGACTCGATCGATTTGAGAAAAACAACAAGTCCTACTGTTAGCCTAGTTTTGTATGCACTGTCATGATCTAGTTAGTATCTGGAGTATAAAGTATTATTTTATACCGAGCCTGAAAACTAGGCAAGCTATAGATCGACTCAAACCGGGCCTCTATACATAGATCTATCTGCAGACATATCGCGCATCTCATATAAAGCTTGCTGCATTTTCTGTTCACAGATCAATGTGCTGCGTCTGCCTACACTAAAGATGATCTGGCAGTCGAATGTTTCTACGTGAGGTGAGAGACCAACTACAGCGGCTATTTCTAAATGTGGTACCACTTCTCGGATAAATGTTTATAGTGATTGTGATTATTGAAAAACATATTTACGTTATGTTTTGAACCAAAACATGGAGCCATAACTGTATCCGGTGAACACTGATGGCTCGATGTCTGTAACACGTCTGAGAAGTGGCTGATGAATTTCGTAAACGTAGGCACTGACTATCAGTGACTGCTTGAAAGCACCTTGACAAGTGGGACCTCTTAGATCATAATTGTAACTGTGTATTTCTCAAAAACCCACATCTGCGGTTAGTTGTGATCTTTAAATAGCGTGCATCACTGATTTTCGTCACACAAGGAAACCATACCTGACTATGTAACTTTTCACGACGTCTGTCACCATTCACGGGGACTATACCTGACTGTAACTTTACAAGTGTCTATCACTGACTGGATGTCATAAAACGGGACTATACCTGACTGTAACTTTACAAGTGTCTATCACTGACTGGATGTCATAAAACGGGACTATACCTGAGTATGTAACTTTTCACGGCGTGCATCACCGATTGTCGCCATACACGTGGACTATACCTGACTATGTAACTTTACACGGCGTTTATCACTGGTTGGATGCCGTACGATGGGACTATATCTGACTTTGTAACTGTACACGACCTCTATCACTGACTGTTTCCATGCAATAGTACTATACGTGACTTTGTAAATTTACATTGCGTGCATCACTGATTGTCGCCAGCCATTGGAACTGCAGCTGACAATGTAACTTTTCTCAGCATTCATCATTGATTGTCGCTATACAGCGAGACCAAAGCTACATTTCTTTACACAGAGTAAAGGTCATAGTTACGCAGCTTTACAGAGTGAAGACTAAAGCTACGTAACTTTATACAGCATGCGTCACTGATTGTCGTCATACACTGGAGCTACAGCTGACTGTTACTTTATTCACGGTTCATCCTAGACTATTAATCATATACAAAATAAACAATTTGCTACATTTTAACTGGCAGTCGTAAAAAGAAATAGAAGATAAGACACACGCATGGATAGTGGCTGACCAATCATAATGCTATGTTCGATAACGACACCGGCCACTCCCCCATCAAACAGTTCAGCAGCGTGGATGGCTTTTTGTCCATCAGCGCTGTCATTATTTCAATCATGGCTGTGACATGCAACACATTACTTATCTGTGTGATCGTCAGGAGCAAACTTTTAAAAACGCCAACAAACATGTTCATAGCTTCTCTAGCCGTCGGCGAACTGATCATCGGAGTATTTGGTATCCCGTTTGCAACTGCCAGCGTTGTAGCCAAAGACTGGCCATTTTCCGCCACATTGTGCAGGATGAGCGCCAGCTTGCAGATCATCGGTCGCAGCTCCAGTACTTATAGTCTGATGGCCATATGCGTGGATAGATGTTTGGCCGTCAGTAAACCTCTGAAATACTCTCACTTGCTGACTCTCAAAACTACGTCTATCAGTGTGGGCTTGATCTGGCTGCTGTCTTGTGTCATGGGTGTGACACCGTTGGGAAGCTGGGGTTACTACCAATACGCCAGTGAATATTATTTATGCACGCTGTTTAAAAGAACAGGTGAAAAACAACACGTAGTTAAAGAGGTCATTTGTAGCTATCTCCCTGCATTGGTCATCTGCCTGACCCTTCTGCAGATTGTTAGAGAGGTCAAATCACACCATCGAATATTCGCCATTGTCCAGCTGCCAGTGGCCTCCACGGCCAACCCGGCAGGAGAGTTACTGCCGGGGTTTGTTTCCGGCCCACGTGGATTTAACCGCAATACAAGCAAAGCTATGAGATCGCTGTTTATTGTTATAGGCGGTTATGCAATATTGTGTTTCCCGCTGTCCGTTTTGAACATTCTATACCAGAACGATTACCCTGTTGTCCCTCCCCACGCCGCCATCACCTCCATCGTGTGGATATCTTTTCTCTGCTGCGTTATCAATCCAGCTATCATCATCTTTTTAAACAGAAAATTCAGGGTACAGGTAAAAGTTTTACTTATTCTCTTCTCAGTGTTTGTACATGGTTTGCCTGTTCACATGTGATCTGCTTCCCTCCTCCCTGTTCACATGTGGTCTGCTTTTTCCCTGTTCACAGGTGGTCTGCCTCCCTCCTCCCTGTTCACATGTGGTCTGCCTCCCTTCTCCCTGTTTATATGTGATCTGCTTCCTCCCTGTTCACAGGTGGTCTGCCTCCCTTCTCCCTGTTTATATGTGATCTGCTTCCTCCCTGTTCACAGGTGGTCTGCCTCCATCCTATCTGTTTATATGTGATCTGCTTCCTCCCTGTTCACAGGTGGTCTGCATTCCTCCTCTCTGTTTATATGTGATCTGCTTCCTCCCTGTTCACAGGTGGTATGCCTCCATCCTCTTTGTTTATATGTGATCTGCTTCCTCCTTGTTCACAGGTGGTCTGCTTTCCTCCTCCCTGTATATACGTGATCTGCTTCCTCCCTGTTCACACGTGGTCTGCCTCCCTCCTCCCTGTTTATATGTGATCTGCTTCATCCCTGTTCACATGTGGTCTGCCTTCCTCCTCCCTGTTCAAACGTTGTCTGCCTCTTCTCTGTTCACATGTCGCCTGTCTCCACTCTGTTCATTCATGGTCTGACTTCTGTTTGTTCATAATGGTCCATTTCCTCTTTTTTTTTTCAAGTATGATCTATCTGCTCTCTGTTCATAAGGTCCATCTCCTCTCTGTTCATAAGGTCCATCTCCTCTCTGTTCATAATGTCCATCTGCTCTCTGTTCATAAGGTCCATCTCCTCTCTGTTCATAAGGCCCATCTCCTCTCTGTTCATAAGGTCCATCTCCTCTCTGTTTATAAGGTCCATCTCCTCTCTGTTCGTTTTTGGTCTGTCTTCTGCCCGTTCATGATGTTCGATCTCATCTCTGTTCCTACGTGATCTGTCTCATCTTTGTTTATAATGATCCACCTCCTCTATGTACGTCATCCGTCCCATCTATGTTCATAATTCCTCATCTCTTCTCCGTTTGCTCATTGTCTGTCTAATCTCTGTTTACTCGCTGCCTTTTTCTGTCCACATGTGGCCTGTCTCCTCTCTGTTTATTCATGGTCTGTTTTCTGTCTCTTTATAGTGGTCAGTCTCCTCTCTGTTCATACATGATCTACCTCGTCTCTGTTTATAATGATCCATCTCCTGTCTGTTCACTCACTGTCTGTCTTATTTCGGTCCCCTCACTGTCTTAACTCTCTTCAAACATGTTCAGTCCCCTCACTGTCTTAACTCTCTTCAAACATGTTCAGTCTACTCACTGTTCATACTCTAGAATGATTTTTTTAAACTCTTAAACGGTACGGTACTTTATGTTCATACTTGATGTGTCTCCCCGACGTAGTACTCGATGGGGGAACGCATCGCACACTTGCCAAGTATGTGGGGTTTAAAAAAAACGTATTTATAAATGTCATTCCTCCACACATACACACAGCATTTCCTATGGCCGCCCACTCTCATTGGCATGGCACATGCTGATGGTGATTATACCTGGAGTAAATTGTGGCCAACCTAAACAAGAGCACCACTATAAGCCAGGCCGCGGCCAGCTCCAGATACAAGGCCATACAGCTGAAACGAGAATTCCCGTTTTTGTGAGGCTGGCGTGGCCGGTCGGTGGTAACAATTGTTATCGAATAGATTTATACACACATTGAACTACAGTTTAATTAATTTGCAAAATGTGTTATTGAATGAATTAACATTTTGAAGATAAACATTTTCTAACAGCCCATTTATTTATCTTCAACAACTAATAGATGGAAAGGCTGGGCTAGATGATGCAGTAGTGTACAACGATGGTTCTTCTGTTCATCAAGGTGTGAGATCTGGCTAGGGATTTTCAGATAGAATGAAGGGAAAGATTGTGACAGAACTAAGCGGAGCTTTTTTATCTACAACTCCAAGCATGAGAATGGAAGTGGAGATAATCACTGCAGCTCTGAATTGGATAGAAAGTTACCAAAGGAATTATTTTGTCTGATTCTCAGTTCAACTGCGAAAGGTTCAAAATGGACTGATGTGGCATGGGTGGTTACCATGCATTAGTACGCCAAAAGTGCAGGGATTCGTGTGGATATTCTGTACGGGATATGTAGGAGTGTGAGGGAATGAAAGATCGGATTTTCTGACTACAAAATCGAAAGCTACAGGAACACTGGTACTGGACAAGGGAGATAGCCATATATAAACGACTGCTGACTGAAGACACGAGATTAGATGAAATAACATGTTCAAGAATGTGTAACGAGGAATTAAGTGTGGATCTGGCAAGGAGGGACTGATGAGAGGAATGTCGTGCTTGTGTCATCTCACTGGTACCAGGTTGTAGCCAATGTCGTACTTGTGTCATCTCACTGGTACCAGGTTGTAGCCCTATGTCGGGCTTGTGTCAACTCACTGGTACCAGGTTGTAGCCAATGTCGTACTTGTGTCATCTCACTGGTACCAGGTTGTAGCCCAATGTCGGGCTTGTGTCATCTCACTGGTACCAGGTTGTAGCCCAATGTCGTGCTTGTGTCATCTCACTGGTACCAGGTTGTAGCCCAATGTCGTGCTTGTGTCATCTCACTGGTACCAGGTTGTAGCCCAATGTCGTGCTTGTGTCATCTCACTGGTACCAGGTTGTAGTCCAATGTCGTGCTTGTGTCATCTCACTGGTACCTTGTTGTAGCCAAGTGTCGTGCTTGTGTCATCTCGCTGGTACCAGGTTGTAGCCCAGTGTCGTGGTTTTCTGTATTTGTCTTGTGCTTCTTGGCTTGGGTGATGTATTTTTTCCATCTGTTTTTACTTTTTTTCTTTTTAAGATTTTAGCTATACCATGTATCGGTCTCTTTATTAGCGTTCCTAGATGTTATGCTGTAAAAAATGTTTCATGCAGTTTGGTCTGGCTTCATTCCCACTAGGTGGCCGAACCATTTTATTCTTTGTCTGTCAGTATAATTCAGACATAATGTTTTCCAAACTTTCTCCCTAATGCTGGTACTTGTAACCCTGTCCATTCTTATGTTGTTAGCGACCCTTGCAGAGACAGCGCATTTCGCCTGTAATTTTTCTGTGCCAGTGCCCTTGTTGGCACTGATAACATAAAGTAGGGATAAAAGTGCTGTTAATGGTTCTGCTGTCTTGCTGGAAGGTAGACATTTGGGTGACTGAGCAGTGGGGCCAACTGGCAGGTGACAGCATTTGCTTTCTGTACTCTGGCTTCTATCTCTCAGTGGAGTCTTGCCGTTTTTTGTAAATATGTTTCGTAGATATTAACATTCTCTTTCTTGTTTGATTGTAGTTCCCGTTATTATGTTTCCGCCCTATTCTGATTTCCTCAGTTTTGGCCGTGTTCATTTTCGTAACATACTGTGTGCAGTTTGATGTCAGAAGTCAGTGTGGTGCTTTAAATTATGTTCTTGGTGGTGTATTAGACAATATTCGTCCTCAAGAAGAAGTTCATTGATTTCTTCAGTGTCTGGAGATTTACTGTCTATTTACTGTCTCCTGGCGGTAAATCCAATGTTGTGTATCTTTTTATTTATTATATTTATGTATGTGTTGTTGTTTTTTTCTTCAAATGTGATCGTCGTACTTTTAGTATACTTATTTAGGAAAAAAATCATTTTAGAATTTGAGTTTGTTGTACCCTGGAAGTCGGCTCTGTGGCAAAGTCGATGCGAACGCTTCGTAATGCCGGGGTGCCGGTTTCGATCCCAGCTGCGAGCCATGCGCCTTGCGTTGGTTTCGATAGTGGTATCAGGGGGCTGACCGTCCAGGAGTAATAGCAAACTACTGGACGTAAATTTGCCTAGTGAAACCACACAACTGCCAGGGGCTGCTGGGGTTGGTTCTGCAACGTCCTGTAAAGGATACGCAGCTAACCTTTTGTACCCTGGAACCGATTAATATAGTTTCCATTATTTTTAATGGGAAAAATTGCCGTGGAACTCAAACGATTTGGAATTCGAAAGCCGTCTCAGAACGTATTATCATCGAATTCCGAGCGACCACTGTATTTTGTTAAGTCTTCTATAACAGGCTCGTTTTAGGTAAATGATATCTATAAATGACTCCCCCTATCACCGCTACATGTTATATATATCTTTGCCTACTTGTTTTGTATATCTTTGCCGTAGCTATTTCTCAGTTAAAATTAAATTCGTGAAGATCAGTTTCACTTCGGTTTTTATCCCACATGACTCTGTCTCTTTTAGCAGAAGGACTAGTTGTCTACATAGAGCGTCGCATAAAACATGGACTCCCTAGCCCCAGCGTCGGCCTAGGCCCCTTCCCCCCCCCCCCCCATAAAACGAACCTACGACTCTCAGAAAGTGAGGCAAACAGCTTGACCACTCGGCCACCGATACGCCAACTTCTACCCACTGCACCAGTCCCTGACATATTGAACTAATCCCTCCCTTCTGCAATTGTTTCCTCAGCTGAAGCTGCTCGTCAACCAGCATCTGTGTTCTACACTGGGAGCTAGCAAGGAGGTGTTCACAATCTCTACAGGACTACACAACATCCTCGATGCTACCCTCGTACTCAGCATGATCAAACACGAGAACGCTTCCACCACCACTTCTATACGTCGGAAGATCCTTCGACTGGGTGTAGCAAATTAAGTATGTTTGTGGATAGATGCATAGCAGATGAACTGGATTGACAGATAAATGGGTGTAGGGATTGATGGATGGGTGAGTAGATGGTTAGATTGATGAAGGAATGGGTGGATGCATCTGTAAGTGGGTTGGTATATGAATGTGTGGATAGATGGATGGATGGATGGATGGATGGATGGATGGATGGATGGATGGATGGATGGATGGATGGATGGATGGATGGATGGATGGATGGATGGATGGATGGATGGATGGATGGGTGGATGGACGGACGGACGGACGTGAGATCAAAGCAATGAATGAGTTCACTGACAGGCAGAAGGATAAATGTGATGTTAGATGAGTCGGCGACAACTGATGTATGAATGATTGGTGGATGGGTGTGATGAATCGATGGATATAGTGACTGGATAAATCGATGGATGGAGAGGCATGTACCATTATTCCGGAAGTGGGTACCAGGCGATTGACGAAGTCACTGCACTACTCACACGAGACTAAGATTTTCTGGCATTTATATGATTGGCGTATGCAGTGGTGTGTAGTCGTTCCAGGGAGGAGCCTCAGAGCTTATTCTTGTGTGCGTAAGCTCTCCGCGACCAACCTTATAGAATGACAGTATATATTTCATTTATAAATTAACTGTAACATAAAATTGGTGACATAAATATGTGTGTGCGTGTATGTGTGTGTGTGTGTGTGTGTGTGTGTGTGTGTGTGTGTGTGTGTGTGTGTGTGTGTGTGTGCGAGAGAGAGAGAGAAATAATACAATGCTTCACAGAAAATGTCAGTATCTATGGTTTAGGCGTTGCGAACTCACTTTGCAATGCCAGGGGGCCGGGTTCGATCCCACTTGCAGGAGATTTGATTTGAGTTTACAGTTGGTGAACGTTAAGAATAAGAAGAAGAAAAAGAAGAAGGAAGAAGAAGAAAACGGAAGAAGAAGAAAAAGGAAGAAGAAGAAAACGGAAGAAGAAGGAAGAAGAAGAAGAGGGAAGACGAAGTAAGAAGAACCCCCCGAGAGTAGGAGCACAGCCTCTAAGAGTAGGGGCACAGCCTCTGAGAGTAGGGGCACAGCCTCTGATAGTAGGGGCACAGCCTCTGAAAATAGGAGTAGAGCATCTGAGAGTGGGAGCAGAGCTTCCGAGAGTGGGAGCAGAGACTTTGAGAATAGAATCCGGCCACTGAGAGTAGGAGCACAGCCCTCGAAAATAGTAGAGCATCTGAGAGTGGGAGCAGAGCTACCGAGAGTAGGAGCAGAGCTCCTGAAAGTAGGAGTGGAGTACCTGAGAGTGGACCAGAGCCTCCAAGAGTGGGAGCAGAGCTCCCGAAGGTAGGAGCAGAACCCCTGAGTAGGAGCAGAGCATCTGAGAGAGGCTGAGTGTAGGAGCAGAGCCCATGAGAATAAGAGGAGAGTACCTGAGAGCATAGCATAGCACCCGAGAGTAGGAGCAGCTAACTCTAATGAATTATTAAACAACCACAGAGTAGCCGGCCCTGGTGAAGCCCGCTGAATGACCTATAAATAAATAATGAGTTAACGGCGATTGTCCGTGAATCTGTTACTGTGTTTTGTCATTGGTTGTGCAGGTACAGGGAGACTCAACTTTGAAAAACGATAGCAAAATACTGCTGCTGATGTAGCTGCTTCTACTACTACTATTTCTTCTTCTTCTTCCATTTATCCGCTAATGGTGCACAGACCCTCAACCATCTTACGCTAAGTCATCTTATCCGTTGCTGTCGCATGCAGCTCATAGAACAAAGTAGATCTCTCTCTAGTGATTCTTGAAGAGAAGAAAGAGCACAATTTTTTTTGGTTGGGGTCAGAGGGCAAGTGTATATATATATATATATATATATATATATATATATATATATATATATATATATATATATATAAACTTGCCCTCTGGATATATATATATATATATATATATATATATATATATATATATATATATATATATCGTACTTATTTGCCACTTAGTGGCTGGCCAAACGGTTAAGAATGCTGGGCTTTCATGCGGGAGACCCAGATTCGAATCCTCGGTAAAGTGGTTAATTATAATTGTGTTTGTTTGCTATAACAGTGGTAAAGGGTACTTACACTGTTTGTGGCGACAACACTGGCTACGTGACTCTAAATCTCAAGCTCAAAGATACCCCCCCCCCTCCAGCAAACCCCAACCCTTTTTTTACATCGCAAAAATAGTAAAAACAGGCCGATATGGCATTTGTGTATGTGTGTGTGGGCCAGTCAGCACACGATGATGATTCTTTCTATGACTATTATTTGTATTTCGTACATAAACAAGGCCTTTTAAGCCTCCCCCTCACATCATTATGTCAGCGCCCCTTTTGAGAGAGGGAGAGAGAGGGGGAGGGGGGGGGTGTTGATTTGTTCCGTGGACACAACAGACGTAGAAAGCTATAAAACTAGTTTATTGCATGCCCCAGCCAGCTCTGTGAAGTGTTTGTTGGAGGGAGCTGGTTACACAAGTTTGTTGTTTGACTTCTGTACACATTTATTGGGTTATATAGTTCGTGATTTGTGGAAACAGCGGGCAATGAGGAGGGTAGGGGGGGGAATATAAGGACCTGGCGTTACATGGGGGGGGGGGGGGACCAAGCCCTGATCAATCACCGCGTGACACATGGAAAGTAAAAGAGGCTAATTTTCAACCAGATTAGACCACCTGGTCCAAAGGGAAGTGAGGGTATATACATAGATGGAGAAGGCTGTGGTATAGACATGCTGGTAGGGTCGTGTGGGCGGGGGGGGGTGTTCGCATCTGACGTGCAAGAGAGAGAGAGAGAGAGAGAGAGAGAGAGAGAGAGAGAGAGAGAGAGAGAGAGAGAGAGAGAGAGAGAGAGAGAGAGAGAGAATATATTTGGTTAACCACATATTCCACATGAGTCGAGCCGAGAAAACGCAGTGAATAGACAGTATATTTGTGGTCCAAAGATCTTGGGATCGATCCTCATCGAGTCGGAACTTGTCATAATTGACATTGGTATAGTGTGTTGTGGTTTGCAGTTATGCTGTGGTATATATATGCAGCTTTCTTCATATTTTTTGGAAAGGGGGGGGGAGGGGCTCACATAATTTTAGAGGCTAGACACTCGCCTGTGGATTTTAAGATCATGGGTCCAAATCCGAACATAACCGGACTTGTTGCCAAAAAAAAAAAAAAAAAAACTTGGCTACCAAGTCAATCCGGCCTTAAATGGGTAGCAGATAAGTCATGGGAAGTATAGGCTGCCGGCGTGATGTTGATAAGGAGCAACCCAGGTGTTTTGAAAGAGGCAAGAGCTCGAAGACTGCTAATCACAAACATCAGAGAGAGACAGTCATTATTTAGTCGTGTTATGACAAAGAAAGAAAAAGAAACTAGAATGTGTCACAGACCGTTGGAAAGAATGTGTCGGACCACTGGAAAGAATCTGTTGGACCACTGGAAAGATCTATGGAAGACTAGAAGCGAAGACAAAGTGAGAAAACTCTTGACAGCCTTTTTTCATGGCATGAAAGGATGTCAGCACACAGACTCATACATGCTGTTGAATATCGTCGATTGTGGAGATTCATGATTACCCCCGCCAGTCGGCAAGGCACATGATGATGGAGATAAGTATACAATTTCCTGTACGCCTTTCGCCCATTGACTGTATCTGATCCCAAAATGCCGTAATTCGCGACCGCCCGAAGGATGTTTCGTGCCTTATGGTAGTCCACGAGATATAATATTCTCTTGAGTCCATATGGCCTCATGATGGACAAACAGGTTGTCGAAGAAACCATCTCTTACGGGATGGATGCCTCGAGTTTCCCAGTGCCATGAACACAACTAGCTATCTATCTACGAAACAATGAGTTTTTTGTTTTTCGACTTTTCCCCTGTGGGTTTCGGAATCCCGTTGTGGAGGGAAACAAGAATAGACCCAAGGACACACACACACGAACCATCATAAGTTTAAATAATGCGGACACAAGCAATACATTGCAAAATTAATTGATCCGATAGTGACTTGACATAGAACACCCAAACAAAACAGCTCCATCAGATAGAGACTTGACACAGAACACCCAAACAACACAGCTCCATCCAGCAGTGACTTGACACAGGACACATAAACAACACAGCTCCATCCGACAGTGACTTGACACAGAACACCCAAACAACACAGCTCCATCCAGCAGTGACCTGACACAGAACACCCAAACAACACAGCTCCATCCAGCAGTGACTTGATACAGAACACCTAAACACGGCTCCATCCAGCAGTGACTTGACACAGAACACTCAAACAACACAGCTCCATCCAGCAGTGACTTGACACAGAACACTCAAACAACACAGCTCCATCCGACAGTGACTTGACACAGAACACTCAAACAACACAGCTCCACCCGACAGTGACTTGACACAGAACACCCAAACAACACAGCTCCATCCAGCAGTGACTTGACACAGAACACTCAAACAACACGGTTCCATCCAGCAGTGACTCGACACAGAACACCCAAACAACACAGCTCCATCCAGCAGTGACTTGACACAGAACACCCAAACAACACAGCTCCATCCAGCAGTGACCTGACACAGAACACCCAAACAACACGGCTCCATCTGATAGTGTCCTTACACAAAGCACCCACAAACATAGCTCGAGTAGACTGTGTCCTGACAGAAACTACCTACTCGGCACAACCTAAATGATGACACAATCACAAACGATAGTCCCTTGACATCAATCTTCTTCTTCTTCTTTTGTCAAAATCTGCTTGTGCCGCTAGGCGTCGCAGTCTATCAGATGATCGGCAACCGAGCCAGGGCGCGCTCAGTCGCTTCATATGCCGTAATGTTATGAAGTCTCAAGTTGTCCGTGACTCCTTCAATCCATCTTCTTCTTGGTCTTCCCCTGCCTCTTGTTGTTTCGATTTTCATGTTGTATGCTCTTGATGCTGGCATCGTTGGTTCCATTCTCATTAGGTGACC